GTTCGGAAGCAAAGAAACTGCAAGCAGATAAAATAGGGACCACTTCGGTGGGAAGGGAACAGCGTTCTGTGCGCCTTGGTGTTTAGTCATGCCGGCCACATGACCACGGAAACGTCTTCGGACAGCGCTGGCTCTTCGGCTTTGAAACGGAGATGAGCACTGCAACCCTAGAGTCGGATTCGACTGGCTTTCGAGCAAGGGAACCCTTTACCCTTCTACTAAAAGGAGAAATAGCCCAGAGAATACAAAGATACAGAAGTATACAGCAACAGTTCAGCCTAATGGAATTATCAAGGCTCTGTATCTAGATCTGTGGTTCTTAAGAAATATATGCCTCTCCCCCTTGGGGAGGGGGGCAGCGATGAATTCTGTCAGACAATAGATCTGTGATACTATTTCCAAAAAAGGAGAAGAGGAAGTTGCCATCTTCTACGGTGGATTAGATCTGGAGGTGAGCCGGCCCTGGGAAGACGCCTAGTTAACCGAAGAATGCTTGTCGTCAGGTTAGGTTGATGAATGGAATTCATCTTGGATTAAGAAAATTTAACATCAAGAGCACCGCACTTTACTTAATGACTGTTTTATACTGTTTAATGATTGTTTTTATGTTGTTTTAGTCGTTGTTATGGCAACTGCCTCTGTTGTAGCCCCCCTGAGCCCGTTGGGGGAGGGCGGGGTATAAATCTAATAATAAATAAATAAATAAATTTGCTCCTCCCCCCCCGTCCTGAGGGAACTCATAGTGTTACTAGTTTTTATATTGTCACTGCTATCTTATGAAACAATTCTGAGATGCTGTGTCTTTTAATTCTTTCCCCCCCAGAATGTATGTAAATTTTAAACTTATTAAATAAAGTTTAAAAGAAGAACATGTGGGTCCAAATAATGCATTTCCAGTGCTAAATGCTGTGACACAGGGGGATACAGCGACTTTATTGGCTAGAACTCAAAGACTCTTCTTGGACAGCCAAGCTGACCTAAACCACTAAGTGGACTGAGACTTGGTAGGATTTGTTGGAGAACAACGTGAAAGATGGCTTGTTGGAAGAATGGTTAGTGGGGGAACTGCCTGCCCCATCTACGAAATGACTCTTCGTGTCAAGTGGAGCCCCATCTCCCAAGACCTAAAGGGAAGGGAGGATACCTGAAGGATCCCAGGAGGAGGGTGGAGGAGCAACAGTCCTCCGGCACCTGGGCCTGAGCACAAACAAGGGCAGATTGGGAAGTTTAAAACAGAAGTGGAGCACGCCAAATCTTGTGGGCCCCATGATACCTTCACCCACGGTTACCGCTGGCCAAGACCCCGGCCTTGGTGGAGTGCAGTTCAACTTGCTCCTGACTCTCAACAGCCCTTTGGAGCAACAAGAACACTGGGAGCTTTCCTGGAAGGCTAAGGCCGAATCTGTCCCCACTGTGAAGGCAGGCCGTACAGTATCATTTACTCCTCGTACATTTTCTCGGGGGGGGGGGGAGGGGGGTGTGTGTGTGTGTGTACACTCAAGAGTGAAGGGCCATGGTACTTGGGCTACGGCTAGGGTGACAAATCTCCTGCTATCGCTTGCTCCTCCTTGCCAACAGGTGAGGAAGACTCAGCCAAAAGGCTGCTCAGGTTACCCCAAACAGAGCTGAGCCTCTGAAGCCTTTAGGAAACAAGAGCGGTCTTCCTCGCGGGAGGAGAGGCCATCACCTTCTTGTCAAGGTTTCGGTTTTGCTTCTCTTTACCTTGCCATGTATTAGGGGGGAGGGAGTTCCTGAGGGGGGAGTGCGTGTGGGTTGAGTGCTTGCCTGTAGTAGCCGTAACCATTTCTCAAGCTGTACCCCTAGGCCTGTACTCATGAGATTTGGCCTTGGAGACTCTTGCCAGGCTAGAATAGATAAGATGCCATATATCTGTCAGGGTTGTCGTAGTAATGGTAGGGGCTGAATGCTGACATAAGAATCGGGTGTAGGGTGCATTGCTCAACTTCATGTTCGTTGCAACTATGACATTCAGAGGAACTATAACCTCTGAATTTTGCACACTTTCTTCAGTCCTGACAAAGATCCAGTTCCTGTAGTAAACATATCTCTAATAAAGCATCACTGCCGAAAGTGTTGTGGAGAGTGTCTTAACTGGAGATCTGACACCTCTGAGGATTACTCTCTTGTTTCTCTCTTTCAACTTCCTTTTAGCTATTCCCCTAATTTTTGCAAAGTTCCCTCTTTTGCAATCTAATGTCACAGGTTTGGACTTTAAGGGTGACTTTCCATTGACACGAATGCTGAACTTAATAGCATTGTGGTCACTGTTCCCAACTGCTGCAACAATCTCTACATCTCTCACCAGCTCTTTCTTGAGTCCCACTCAGAATCAAGTCCAAGATCCCTATCCCTTTCGTTGGCTCTGTGGTCAACTGTTTCAGTGAACAGTCATTTATGATGTCTAGGAATCTCATCTCTATCGCATGAACAGTCATTTAAGATGTCTAGGAATCTCATCTCTATCACATAACCCAGTCAATGTGAGGGTAAGTTGAAGCCTCCTAATATCATATTATCATCTGCTTCAGTCAACTCCCTTATTTCCTTCTCCATCTTTTCCATTTTATCCTATCCTTCCCCCATGGAGCTTAGGCCTCATTGTGCCCTCACAACCACCACTCTGTGATATACTTAGGCTGAGAGTGCGTACCTGTGAAATGGGTGTCACAACCAGCTGGTCAATTCCTGTCTTGGAGTTGTACACTTTCTGCTTCACAAAACCAGGATCCACAACATAGTAGATGCCATCAATAGTAAGAGACGTTTCAGCAATGTTTGTGGCAATAACCACCTAAGCAGAAAGAAGGGACGAAGCAGATCACAAGTCAGGCAAAAAGCAAGGAAGAGCACGCAAAATCAGAATAATCCCAGATGCTTCCAATAAACACTATTTAGTCCAGGGGTGTCAAACATATGGCCCGCGGGTCGGATCCGGCCCCCTGAAAGGCCCCAATCTGGCCTGAGAGCAACTG